TATTGTAAATAAATAAATAAATAAATAAAACCTAAGAAGTTCTGTATAGCCCAACCCTCACAGCCAAAGCGCAGCAGCTAATTAATTCCGTGACTATAAAATAGTCTTGATCACGTGTTCGACAATGCTCTCCGAAAGCGGGTCTCTGGCAGTCTGGCTCATCACGTTGATCCGGAGAAAGTGCGCCCATTGGTGCAGGACTTTGCGCATCCATCATTGAGGGACAAACGCCACAGACTTAAAAAGTTTTATCTAACTATAAGTCTCTGATGTTGCAGTGTCCACGGTGTCGCTAGCACTTGAAACACTCTCAGAATGTGTTCACTAAGTTTTTAAAGCATATCTATGCTGAAACTTGCATTGATCATTGTCTAGAAGAGAACAGACTCCTTCTTGAAGATGCCATAGCAGTGACTAAACACCATGTAAATAAATTTCTTTTAATTTATGACACCCCATGTTTTTCGGAGAGATTCAACTCAACTGGCACGACTCTGAGCTTTCTTTTCTTTTACAGCGAAAGCTGTTATGAGATCACCACAAGAGTGCCGTAGTTGTCCACCGCTGGTGTTCGTAACTGCCATCACACGAAATAAGGAAAAAGAATGAACAACAGATATTCTGGATAAAATGGTGTTCGAACCTGGGTCCTCTCAGTACCAGTACAGTATTCTACCACGGAACAAAAACCTTACACAAGCGTTAAGTTAGGTAGGATTGGTAGAAAAGCAAAATAACAACCGCAAGTCACAGAATGCAAATTGTGCAACCGGGAGTAACACAATATAAATTGCATTACAAGTACATCATTGAATGCTTCCAACCCATTAGAAAGGGCTCAGCCACAATTCTTCGTAATCATCAGCCACTGAATGAATTGATGGAGTAGTGAGTACCTTGGAGGCGTACTTGTATTTGTAGCCTCAAGAGACTTTGCAATAGGTTCTAGAAATGGCAGGCTTCCAGCTTCCCAGTTATGCATGTGATGCCAGCGGTAGGGTCATATGTGCACAGCATATGCCTATCTAAAGAAAAGGCCAAATCCTGTTCATTTCTGTGGGTTAACAAAGCATGGGGCAACCTCTGTGTACCGCGCTAGTGCGATACTTTCATTGTAGCACTAACGGGCACTTCAATCACGCATACCGCAGCCACCAAGATAAAGAAAGTGCTGTCAAAACCAAAATTGCAAGCCTTAGCTGAATTATGTCCGGGTCGATTACAGAGTGTCATCAAGGTAGTGCAAGTAACTAGAGAGGAGTCAGTTATGCCTGATGTAACATGGAAGCCCCTTATGCATTGATTGATTGATTTGTGGGGTTTAACGTCCCAAAACCACCATATGATTATGAGAGACGCCGTAGTTGAGGGCTCCGGAAATTTCGACCACCTGGGGTACTTTAACGTGCACCCAAATCTGAGCACACGGGCCTACAACATTTCCACCTCCATCGGAATTGCAGCCGCCGCAGCGCCCCTTATGCATGGAGCTTGATACAGGTGCTACAGTGTTGGCAATATCCGAGTCGTTGTTTTTTCCACCTTTTCCGAGTGTTTCTCTACGCAGATCCAGCCTAACCTTGCGCATACACCAGTGGGCCAGTCAAGCCAACCGTCATTGCCTTGATCACAGTGCAGCTCGGTGAAAAATGCCAACATGTGCCTTTTTATGTGCTATGTCATAATGATCTGCTACTTCTGGGATGCAACTGGCTGCAGCAGATAAAGCTTGGCTGGTCAGAAGTACAGAACCTCGAGAGTCTGCAGCACGCATTGATGGCCAGCACAAAGACTTTGGAACTGCGAAGCCTCCCGAAGTGCTAGGTAGATGTGTTAATTTAAAGAGGTACTGACTCAGAGTTCTGCGGCCAAGATAGCCTGCAAGATCGATTCCCGTGGATATGTGTAAATCATCTGCAAAGTATCAACAGCGAATACAGCTAGAAAGGCATTTTACAGCAATTTTCAAGCTTTAATTTTGAAGGTATTGACACCATCTAAAGGCATCCCTTGGCAACCTCTTACTTTTCTCTCGTCACCACGCTGCAGTGAATAAAACAAGTTATGATTACGTCATAGCCGCCGTCTTTCTTTTGCCACGTTTGTTCCTCGCAGTTCATACTTGTCGGCAGCTGGTGATGTGTGGCTGCGGCGCATGCATTGAAAGCTTTTGTGTTTGGCGACACTGCAGTTCTGTTTCCTATTTGAAAGGAATTCTTAATGGGGACAGTGCGGAAGTGCATCACAGTTTTGATGCGCTGACGTGGTCGAGAGCTGTACACGCTAGGTGGCGATAGTTGCAACCGACAGCTTGTCATTTTTGGAGCTCCCTCATACCGAAACGGAAACTGATCAATAGTGAGGGGCTTGTAATCAATTATCTGTGACATGCTACAGCAAACTGATTTGCCATGTTTGACTCCCAGCAACACATGGCAGCAAAAAAAAGAAAAAATGCAAGGCCAAAGTTTTCGTATCAGTACTCCCTTAAGGATGAGCTGGGCGTACTCAAAGTGAAAAGGCTCAACTTTATTTGAAAGATAACGAGAAAGCAAACATTTCTTTAAAGTGAGGAGCATTCGATTTCTTTGAGAGCAGCAGTGGAGGATGAATTGTCTAAGCTAGAAGCATTAAGAATAATTTAATCAGTTTCTTGCTGTGAATACATGATGCCAATGGTGTCAATCATAAAACAAGGTGGATCAGTTCAGATTTCCAGAGACTATGATGTCGCTGTAAGTTTAATTTTGGTTAGAGAAAGGTATCTGCTTCTCAGTGCTGACAAATTGTTTTCTGTTCTTGCTGGAGGAAAAAAGTTCTAGAACATTGACTTCAGCAGAAAATTCCAGCAGGTTGATAGAGATGAAGAATCCGGACAATATTTTTTGACGTTGAACAAGCAGAATGGTCTTTTTTTCAGTGAACTTGGTATTGTGTGGCATCCCATCAGCACCAGCTATCTTTCAGCACAGTATGAAAAATGTGTTAAAAGTGTTCCCCTTAGTCACTTGTTACCTTGATAATATTTTGATCACTGTGCATATGCAAAAGGAGCACCTATGTACCATGGAAGCTGTTTAAAAAGGCTGTTGAAATGAGGGATCACACCATAAAAATGTGATTTTTTTCAAGATAGGCTGCTGTACTTGGAACATGTTGTTACCAAAGATCAATGAAAGAAAAGTTACGCACTATTGTGAGCTCTACTTCAACTGATAAGCAACTGACAAGCTTCGGGGCATACTGATACTTATCTAACACTATGAAAAGTTCATTCAAAATCTTTTCACGATTCCTGTTTTCCTGTGAAGGAACTCTTTCAGAAAGATGCTGTATGAATGTTGGATACGTTTTGGAAAAAAATGTTGTGAATAAGTTATGCAAATAGCAACACAGCCTATTTTGGCGGAGCCATTGAGTAGCACATCCATTGCACACCCTCAACTAGGCTAAAGTGCCAATTGGGAAAAAAGACTTTAGCACTTGTGTTCATTGTGAAAAAATTTCCTTATTATGTCTTTGCAAGACAATTCAGTTTGCTCACGAACCACAAATCATTGGCAAGCATATTTTGTCCTAAAACAGGCATTCTGACCATTGCAGCCATTAGGCTTTACTGTTGAACGATTGCATTAATAAAATTTATTATTACGGCTGTGCAAGGCCATTCATATTGCTCACCAACCAGAATACCATTGTGAACCATTTTTTTTTACTAATGCAAGCATTACAATTATTGCAGTCGCTAGGCTTTAGCCTTGGGTAGTTCCATTATCAATGTATATGTTCTCCTTCAATGTCAGGCTATTAGTTGACAATACAGACGCTGACTGCTTGTCACACCTTCCACTTCATCAATGTGGGGTCAATGGGTCAAAAGAAAGTTTTTCGTTGTTGCATTTCTAAACTATGCCAGTAAGCAGAAGGCAGTTTGGGGAAGAAACGAAGCAAGATCCAGTTCTGCATGAATTAGCGAAGTGCACTCTACATGGGTCGCCAACCCGTGTATTGGAAAAGATGAAACTGTTTCTTTATAGGAGGCTTGAACTGTGTCTATATCAAGGGTGCATCATGCTGGGAGTGCATGTTGTTCTACAGAATGGTTTGTGTTAGATGAGCTGCATCAGGGACATCCCAGATTTGTGAAAGCAAAAGAGCTAGCTCAATGCTTTGTATGGTGGCCAGCCAGCCATAGATAAAGATATAGTGTACAACATCTCATCATGCAAATTGTGCTTGGAAGCTTGCAGTTTGCCAGTCAAAGCACCACTTTGTCTGTGGGCCTGGCCTACGTGGGCATGGCTTCAATTGCATGTTCACTTCGCTGGCCCCATCAAAAGAATTAAGTATTTGGTGATTGTCAATGCACGTTTGAAGTGGCCGGAAGTGTTCACAGTGAGATTAGTTTTGATGTAAGGTACAGTTTCTTGTCTGCACAACGTTTCCTGTAGATTTTGGTATCCCGAAACACTAATGTCTAACAATACCAATTTACGTCAGCTGAATTGCAGTCTTCTTTGCAGGGCATCGATGCGAAACACGTATGAGTCTCACCATACCATGCAAGCAGCAATAGCTTAGCCGAGAGCTTCAGCCAGACGCAGATGTAAACACTTCGAAAACACGGTTAGCAGTTTTTCTGGTAGCCTATCGCCACACGCAACAAGAGGAGAAGCGCCTGCCATGCTGTTCGTTGGTCACAGGCTCAGCACCGTGTTGGTAATGGTTGGACCATCCATCGAGAGCATGCTTCATGTCGGCAGTTCCAACAGTCATGGCACCGAGGCAGCCACTCCTAGGCAGTGTTTAGTGAAGGTGATTAAGCAAGAGGGCGTAATTCTCATGCTCGACTAAGGTGGCTCAACCAGGCGCCAGCTCACACAAGACCAATGTCATAGATACTTAGTGTATGAATCAGCGTTGTGTTTATGAGTGGGTGGGACATCATACCACATTGTACGAGACAGCAAAGTGCTATCTGTGTTTCCAAACGTGAACAGTGGCACCGGTACCATGCAGCAGCAACAGCAGGCCTCGGAACTGAGTGACAGTGGAACAGTGCAAGTAGCGGCACAAGCTAGCCGCACGAGCAACAGTGCTGGTGGTTGTCAGTACCCGAAAAGACAGTGACAGCCTCACTGTTAAGTGTTCTGATTTTGTGTATATACTAACAATGTTTGATAAGTCCATGAGGATAAGGTATATTCATGATGAAGTGCGATAACGCCATGTACTGTTTCGCGCACTGTGTTTATCAGCCAAGTCCCTTGTCTACCAGAGCAATCGAAAGTTGCAGCGGTGGCCTAGCTGCCGCTACTCTCTAACCTGACCTTCAGTTACTTGTCTGGTCAAAGTGTCATGCCTCTTAATTTTATAACTACTCCATATTAATTAAATGCTGCAAATAACATTCCATCTTCTTTTATTGTTTCATAGATATTTGGGTTTGTGTGGTTCATGCAATTTTAGTTTAGAATGTCTTTATTGTCCTGTGTTGATGCATTTAACAAAGGTATTGTAATAATTAGTGTATACATATACTATTTCTTCAATTTCTATGTTGATGGCTAAATATTCGCACACAATGAAAGTTGCTGCGTTCATGTGTTGCAGAAAGTCTTGAAATGTTCATATTCATCTTTGTACAGAGATACAAAACTAACACAACATAGTCAGCAGTATCTTCAATAAAATACATTTCGAGAACTTACACGTGTGTTGATAATGAAGCTTGGAATTAATCTATTAAGTCATGTCTTCTTTGTAGAGCAAACATAGCTCTTGCTGAAAGTTGTGAACATCTACTACAAAAACATATTGCCACACAAACACTTCTTTGCTTCATCCCTGTAGTTACAGTATATACGCAAGATCGGTGCTTGGTCTACCTCAGTGGTTCTCAGCCATGGATGTGTTGGGGACCCCTTGTGGACTGGTTGAAGCGATGGGAGACCCCTGCAGCAGAGGGGAGTAGGGGGGGGGGGACGTATGTAGGTAAATTGAAACTGGAGCGTGAGACAAATGCATTTTATCATTACCAAATACATCAAATAAACGTGCCACGTCACTTCATTTTGGACAGTTTATCAATACATGGCACAGTCACGCTCAAAGAAAAATGTGGGTGAGAGTCTCGCGAATCATATGAATGGCTCGCTAACCTCCTAGGGTCTGCGGACCCCATTTAAGAACCACTGGCCTAGCTAATATCTCATCGTGGAATACTAAATAAGTGTGCCTCTGTTTGCCTCGTTAATTTTTGCAGCACACTAGCTTTCCGATGATAGTTCAAGATGATTGTAACCACTCATATCATTGATACCTTCAAATTTGTATGTGTTCGTTGCTATACAGTTTATATTTCTATAGTTTGAAGAGTGAATAGTTAACATCAGTATGTAGGAATTATCTAATTCATGACGCAGTTTGTCATGCTGTCCGTGTATGTCACAAAAAATGCTGCTTGAAATTTACTTGAACATGATAAAAAAAGCAACAAAGAGCCGGGAGGCAAGCATTCACTGGTGATGTTAAGTGAGGTGAGCTTCTTGAGAAGAAATTGCTAATGTGCCTTTATATCACTCTGATTGATGCCAATTAAACTTCGCTCATTGATATGCCTCATTTTTATTCTTCGTTTCAGAATCTACTTGTATCACAAGTCTGCCAAGCTTCGTTAGCTGCTGTTATGAGTTTGCGAATTGTGCGCTTTTCTGAATAATATTTTATTTGATTGTTTAGACATGTGTGCTAGAGGATTGTATTGCTGTGCCGCTATGTGCTTTTGTTCTCTTACACACACACACTACATGCACGCACACACGCACACAGTTTACCACTGATTCGAATGCTTTAAAAGTGGACAATTCTCATAATGACTGCTGTATTCTTGCAGTTCTCTCGTTGCATTTTTTTGTGCAGTAATACGTGCAGGGCTAAACTTATCAAGCCATTCTCAAAGCCGTTACTCCTTGATGTTGTACCAGAGTAACTTTTAAAATATCAAAACATGGAAGGTTGCCTGCTGATATTGTCCAACTCATTATTTGTATGATAATTACTGTCCTTTCAGTAATTTCGTGAGGCTAGACACAAAACTGAGGCCAATATATATGTGGCAGTTTTACCTCTGTGCCTGCAGTCTTGGAACTCAGAACTACGTAAAATGAAGTTACGTCAGGCTGAGATTTTGGTTGAAGCACAGATTTAGTACACAGAAAGCTCTCTTTTCGCTTTTGTTGTGCTGTTTATCGAGTGGGAGTATGAGTACCGTTGTGCAAGATGGCTGCTGACCAGAAGTAGCCATAAAAAGTAGTGTCCTTTCTCAGCGAAGTCATAGCAAGGACTTTCTTTATAGACATGTTCAAGCTTTATAGCCCGTGTTTAAATGTGCCACATTTCATGCAGACACGGCCTCTGGCAGCAAGCGTCGTTCATTCCCATGCGACCAGTGCCCAGTCGTGGCCACTGACCGGGTTGGATATGAGCGGCACCAGCGCACACACACGGGCGAGAAGCCATTTGCGTGTCCAACTCGCGGCCGCCGCTTCAACCAGAAGTCTAACATGGCAACGCACATGCGCCGGCACACGGGCGAGAAGCCGTTTTCGTGCGATGTGTGCAGTCGTCAGTTTGGTTTCAAGGTGGCACTTGTTAAGCACATGCAGGAGGAGCATACTGTTGAGCCGCTCAAGTGAGGGCATTAACAACCTATAAGACATCGTTATGCTCCAGATTTGGGCTACCAAATTTCGTACACTTTGAGCCCAAATTAAGATGCATCGCCAGAGCTAGAGGAACTGAACTATTCTAACCAAGTTTGTAAGGCTGTTAAACATGAACTTCTCCACCAGAGCAAACCTTGCTCGTGCAGCATGTATTTACTACTGATGAGATAAATTAATGCAGAAGAGGAGCGAGACCGGTGTAAACACACAAATATTACTACGTCTGCCCGTGATAGTCAGCGCTGGGTAATCCTCTGAACGTCGTTTTAAATGTCGTGTTTGGTCGTCTTGTTTCGCGTAACGTGCCTTTTGAAAAAGGTCCTCATGCTGAAAAATTAGCTTGCGATGTCAAATTCGTCAGCATTTTGTTGGACAAAATATAAAAACCATTAGGCCAATTATCAGGTTTCCCAAAGTTGTCCCAATATCGCTTGTTACGTCTCCCATTTCACTACACGACAGCTAGCGTTGTTTAGTTTCATTTTCACCTGATGAACGGCGTGCTGCCGCCAGGTCTATCGATTATCGAGCGCAAAGCATTGTTTCTTTTTGGCTATGTTTATTACTACAATTTTGTCAAAGATCATAGTGTCTATATCTACGAATTTAGGGGCCTAAAACAGTGCTTTGCCCGAATATTATTGGTACCTAAAACCCGGTTTTTTAGTGCTTATAAATCCAGCCTCTATTTATAACACGCCGGAAATCAGCGCAACATCGGGTGTACCACAAGGCTCAGTTTTGGATCCACTGCTGTTTTTAATAAATATTAACGACCTACCTTACTGCGTCTTTTCTTCTGTGAATTTGTATGCTTATGACTGTGTAAATCACAGTAAAATACATACCAATAATCATAAAATATCTTGCAGACAGACTTAACATTAGAAATTGGTGCGATAATTTACTAATGAAGTTAAAGTCATACAAATGCAAACTAATCATTGTTTCCCGGCAGTATAACAAACATACAAACATACAAACACGGTGACATGTGAACATACAAACACGGTGACATGTAAACATACAAACACGGTGACATTCATTTTGACCATGTGTCCAATCGTGGTGTTTCGGGGCCGTCAGACATGGACAACCAAGACAGGGACAATAAACATTTATCGACTTGACAACAATGATTACACGTACTATGAACATCCAAACAATCCAAGCAGCATTTATGTCCTAAATCTGACACTCGTAAACCTGAATACATGAGAGTATGGGAGCATCCCGGAGGCCAAGTTTCTGTGATGTCACTCACATGACCATAAGGTGTCGACAACACCAGTATGAACTGGTAGGAGCACGGGGAGTCGTACGGTCTGTACGCTGAAGTTGCGCGACGGCGCACAAGCAGAGGACAAACTGCTCGCCCTGGAACACGCAAGCCCACGTTGCACCCATTGTAGCACCGAGGCCACGCCTTCATTTGCAGGTTGCGACAGGCCCGCCCATACGAGGTACGATGGCCATAATATGCACTGGTTGTGCTGGACCCACTTGGACCAAGCACTGAGGCCACGCCATCTGCCACTGGAACGGAATCAGCTGCTCGCCCAGGTTGCTCGTTTATTCATCGCAGGAACAGGACTGCTACGCCCGGTCAGGAACACTTGCTCGTCTTGAGGGCACACCAAGCTCGTTCGGCTGGCCTGGTATACCAGCTCAGTCGTCTTCAATCCCTCAGGTGGAATGATCCCTGCTCTTGCTAGTGTCTGCCTTCTCCAGCTCGTTATCTCCGCTCACTCATACGTGCCACGTTTGTCTTGTCTTGTCTCCTAGGAGATCTTGGCTCATACCCACATGGGGGATTGGCCACACTGTACCTCATAATAGATCATTTTTTTACAACGCTTGCTAAAAAAATAAAGAGAAATTAGATAGGAACAATAATAATGTTCCTTTGAAAAAACGTGAAAAATTGCAGAATGCGATAAACCAGAATATATAAAACAAATTAACAAGAATAAGGAAGGGGGAGAAAGAATTGGATGTATTTGGCAGTACCCCTAGCAGCGTATTCTTCCGGTGGCCTGAATGAACTTATGTAGCACTGACAGAATAGCACTGCGGCCCACACCCTACTGACTGGCTCCAAACGATAATAGGGTAGATGTATTGACTGGCGATCCGAGCATACCAATCGGTCTTTCAAGAATTATTCGGCGCAGTGAGGCGAAGCGGCGGCATGTGAGAAGAAAGTGATCTATTGTTTCCGGTTCATTGCAAACTACACATAGGTTAGTTAATGAAAATCCTGATTTGTTGAGATAAAAATTTAACAGAGGAACTCTATAGCGAAAGCTTGTGAGGGTCACCTCACATTGACGGAAAAGGCATTTTGCGGTGTTCCATGTGAATTGCAAGTGCCGAAATTTTTCAGATTGTAGAAGCGACGTTTCGTTGATTTTTAAGATTAACAGGCGTTTGAATCGTTCGGCAGTAATAAAAGGAAACTGTGGAGCTACTAGCACCACCGGGAAATTTAAAGATGCCGAAGCGAGCGAATCAGCAATTTCATTTAGTTCAATTCCAGCATGCCCGGGGACCCAAATAAACCGAACTTCTGATACGCTATGCGGTACGAGAGACCAAAATATCCTGAGAAGAGGCGACTTCTTTGCGGACGTGAGATGTGTACATACAGACAAAGCATCGGAAATAATAATAGCTTTTGATTGCTGATAATTTAGTTTTCGAAGAGCTAATGTAATAGCCAGGAATTCTGCAAGATAAATTGGTGTGAAGTCAGGCAATCGGAGCGCAAAAGACCAATTAAGCTGATGAGAAAAAATACCTACTCCAGCCTTCTGAAGATTTTGCGTTGCGTCCGTCGAAATTACTACGTATTTAGGAAAATGACTGAGATGGTCTTGAAGGAGGCCCTCCAGAACAGGCTTTGGAAATAACTTGGCATTTTTCGGAAAAATATCATCGAAAATTAAGTCAACTGGCACCGACCATTGGGATTGGGGAGTTAAATGCTGGATAGAAACGTGCAGATTTGATAACAAAGACTCGACGAAAATGACTTGGGGTCTTTGATAACGAAATCACGGGCGCTGAAAGAAAGAAACTGGATGTTTGATGAAAACTGTCTGTGACCAGAAGAGGGGCGCATCGCAAAGTTTTTAAAAATGTTTGCACAGTAAGCTGTCGAAATCTAGCATCAAGTGAAATGATTCTAGCTTCCAAATAAAGCACGCTATTCGCGACACACCTAGGTAGCCCGAGACACAGCCGCAGAGCTTGCCTTTCTAGCAATATAAGAGGTTTTAATTTGTACTCAGCACTTCCAGAAAACAGAACACAGCCAAACTCCAGAATTGTGCGTATGTAAAGTTTGTATATCTTAAGTAACGTATCCCTGCGCATCCCTGACTTCTTATTGCAAAACCGGCGGAGCAATCCTACGGGGCTTTCTGCTTTACGGGTGTTTGATTCTATTAGTTGCTGCCAATTTAAATTGTCCACGTAAACAATACCAAGATATTTTAACGCTGTTACTTGTGCAATCGGATCATTTCGATAATGCAGTGAAAGAAATACGGGAACAGATAGAGGGAATACAAGCAGAGCACATTTGCTAACATTAAGTGAAAAAGGCAGCCTGCCAAGCCATACCTCAAGCTCACTCTAATATGACTGTAAGATTTGATACAAACTATTGATATCTCGGGATGACGAGAAAAAAGCAATATCATCGGCGTAGACCTAAAGAGAACATTTTTATGAACGGGAATAGATGATAATAATATATTAAATAAAAGAGGTGACAGGACTGATCTTTGCGGAACACCTCTTGTTTGCTTATATGAGGCAGAAGCAATTCCCTCGTGGCAACAAAAGAATTTTCTCTCAAAAAGGAACTCCTGATCCCAAGATACAATGTAATTGGGAACCTAACAGTCCACTAATCTTGAAATTAATGTACTGTATTCCACACTATCGTAGGCTTTTGAGATATCTAACGTGACTAATGCAGAAAGCTCACCAGATACTTTTGCAAGGCAAATTCGGCTTTCCAAATCAACATGAGCCGACCATATAGAGCACCCCTGTCTAAATACTACTTGCCTTGGTGAAAGGATGTCCTGACGAGCGATGAATTCACTGAGACTTCTATGAAGAATTCTTTCAATGATTTTAACCAGGTTTGAAGTAAGCGAAATTGGCCGAATGTTGTCCAGGACACATCCGAGGGTTGGATTTTTTCGCAGCAACACAGTGCCACGTTCTTCTGTTTTGTTTTGTTTTGTTTCCCTGGGAGGCTGGCTCATATCCACTCAGGGGGATCGGCCAAGAAAGTGTAGTGCAGTTTTTCTGTGATCACTTTAACTATGTGTAATGAATTGGTATTATAATAAGACTAATGTAAAAATAAAAACAACATAAAAAGAGCAAACGAAAAAAAAATCAAGTTGAGCAATTTGAGATTTGAGGTGCTATGATTACCACTCAGCTGCGTTTACTTCACTCTACCCTGGGGAGTAATAAATAATTTTTTTTTTGATTGAAGATCACAAAGGTATACGCTTGGTTGCCTGAATATAATCGCAAACGGCATTGAAAGCATCCCTGTGGCAATGTCCCAAATCTGAGCGCCAAAGCTTAGCGCCGTTTCCGCCGTCAATCTAAGGCCTATTTTCCGAAAAGGCATAACTAGTAACCTTTTTCTAAGTATCTCGTAGCGGCGACAATACAAAAAATAATGATCTAGTGATTCCATTTCTCCGCAGAATGCGCAGAGGGGTGATGTTGTCTGACCAGCTCTGTGTAAATACAGCTTTAGAGGGGGGACAGGACATCGAAATTTAGTAATTAAGACTTCGAGCTTTCTGGACTGACTCCAGTGGGGTTACCATGGAAACATGAAGTGGTTATAGTCTGTCCGTGTAGTTACTTTTTCTATCGTATCAGTGGAGATTGCTGATTTTCGATATCTTATTGCCGTGATATATTCAACA